ATGTCGTCCCTGTTCCGGAGCAACACGCCGTTCTCATCCGCGACGAACTGCTGTCCCCCCGCTTGTCTCCCGCTGAGGCCCACTGATCTCTTGAGGTGTTGGGCCAGTCCTCTCATGTCGCGATCTTGGTAGATTACTTCGGGGTCAATCACACATCCGTCCAGGTGGGCATAAATGTCCGTTTCGTTTGCTGTAGCCACTCCCTTACACGCTGCTTTGAGAACCCTCCACGTTGCTGAGTTCCAGTTGCCCCTCATCGCCCGGCGCGCTTCCCACCGTTTGGTAAGGGCCTGCTCCACCGCTGCTCTCATGTGTTGTTGTTTTTCTTCACATTAAACTCGTGTCAGTTGCTAATCCCAAAATCTAGCAAAGACTCGGTCCGTGGTCACAAAAATGCTAGAGCCATCAGAAGATCTGAAGAACACACACACACTATTAGCAAGGAAAGGGTACACAAGCCCGAGGAGGTACACCTACAATCCCTGCAGCACGTTCGCGTGCTCACAACCGAACTACACGCCCACACACTACAATTCGACTACAGCAGCAGCATCACCCCCCTTGTCCCGCATTTGACCAAAATGAATGTTTGTCGACTATAATACAGCGTACTGCTGTCTGAAGTGCTGTCTGTACAATAATAACACCATGGTGCATGGTACACAAGCTCGGGGCATGCAGCTGCTGTCTGAAGTGCTGTCAGAATGATCCCGTGGACATACAATGAAGAAGAACGCCCAACCAAAGCCATCATTGCAATTGACAATCACCCAAACCTATCCAGATCATCTGTGTTAGGCACAGCAGTGTAAACATCGACACTGACTAGGAATCGTTCCACATTGGAGGGGTATTCCACGATGCAGGTACACAATTAAGGCACCGGGGTTATCCGCGCCATCTCTGCCGCGTCTCTCTACAAAACCATTGACGTCATCACACACACCCAACACCTATTTTCAGGGAAAAACGGAAAAATAATTGACAACACGAGAGATGTTTGTCCGTGCGCCACGGTTCGATGCCATCCGCANATTCCACGATGCAGGTACACAATTAAGGCACCGGGGTTATCCGCGCCATCTCTGCCGCGTCTCTCTACAAAACCATTGACGTCATCACACACACCCAACACCTATTTTCAGGGAAAAACGGAAAAATAATTGACAACACGAGAGATGTTTGTCCGTGCGCCACGGTTCGATGCCATCCGCATGCTCCGGTTCCGCTGCTCCGGTGCCGCTGCTCCGGTGCCGCTGTGGCCAGTCCTAGCACGACCAAACTCGACCCGGTCCGCTTCGTACACGCTCTCGTTGCTGTCCTTCCCAGTCGGTTCCTCGCTTTTTCCCTCGTTGCACTTAGGGTTCTTGGTTTGAAGATTCTCGCGCCTAAGGGTCAACCAGCCCAATCAGCTCGTCTCCACCTGTCCCCTCCTCCTTTGATGGCAAAACCAGGTTACTGAGACAGTACAGCTCCCTCTAGCAAACCTAGGGTCGTGTGCATAGTGCCCGTCCACCTTTCTGATGACGTCTGCCTCCGCGCACAAAGATGAGATGGGCATTGCTGCCTACACCGACGGCCTGGAGGCCCGCGCATCTGCACGTTTGTACCTGACGCACCAGTGCCGACCCAACTCCACCACTACGCACGGTTCGCGGCGGGTGCGCCGCAACAAGAAGGTATCGGTCCCCTGAGGGTGAGTCTAGCCCTGCTCGCTAGAAAGACCCCCCCCTCGCCTATGGGTCATGCCCACGCAAAACCTTGCCGAGGCAGCGAGGGGAAGAAGGCGAATGTGTACAATGATCCGATCACTGAGTCAACATTCCGAAGCCTATTTCGTAATAATACCCTCTGCTGTTGTTTACAGCAGTACATCTTACCATTACTGACATTTGAGTATGCCAACAGTTCTTTGCAGTTGTTGCTGTTGCCCTGGTTGCACACCACATTGGCTGATGATGGCTCCCACGACGCCGGTACAAGACAGTCAATCTCGTAAGTAGGACTTGCTCTGTGTGCTGCGATTTCGTCCCCAAGAAGACACCAGTCTTCCCAAAAAGACACCACCTCACCAGCAACCACAACAACGACAATCAACGTCAAGAACAACGATGATGACGATGATGATGATGATACACAGGGCTCCCGTGTCGAGCAGCCTGGGGAAAATTTTGGACGACGGCCCTGACTCGGTGAAGCTCTGGAATTCCAAGCTCCCCCCCCAAGAAGAGGTGATGAAAACGTAGCAGCAGCAGCAGCAGTACACAGTCGTAACTTGGTTCAGGACACGCCTGTTTTTTTGCTGAAAAGGGTGTCCTTTAACCAGGGAAGTGTCCTTAAGGTCGATACCCCTCGTTATGTTGTACATTCTGCGAGCCACAATGCCTGTGACAATATATGTATATTTTAACCGAGGGACTTTCCTTAATTTTTGGTGGCCTTGAGAGGCACTACTATTCCATGGCATGCCCTTTGTGGGTTATGGTTCTTCCTCCCTTTTTTTTCACACTGCTGATGTGGTGGCCCGCGTTGTGTTTTTACGCCATGAACAATCAACTGGTGGTTGGCGGAGAACCTACGCTCTCTGTTGTGTACGTACTTCGATCCCATTCCGTTTGCGTGTCTTGTGATTTGTGGCCCTTCTGTGGAGAGCTAAATAGCTGCTTGTTTCCTCACGTGCGCACGCATGCTAATCCGACGAGTCTCAAGTTGAATTACTTCAACATCTGTAGTAAGCACAGCTGTAAATGATTTCCCCTGCGTGTCCGTCTCATCCCCCCCCCCTCCACTTTTCCATCTCTGCACCTCTTGCTCTTCGTTATTTCTTCCCCCTGTCCGTCTCGATGTCTCTGTTTCTGTCCCCGCCTGCATGCCTCCCTGTTTATCTCTCTCGCGCACGTACATTGGTTCTCTCGTGTTCTTTCTGTCTACCCATCTCTCTCTCTCGCTCCCTCCCGTCGCTGCTTCATCATTTTTGTGTTTTTTTGTCCAACACATCAACACCAACACCGTTCAATCAGCTTGACCGATGGAACGAGGCTTTTCCTCCTCGGGTACTAGGGGACAGCCTGGGACAGACCATCGAGGAGATTGCTAGCGCGGAGGGCCCGTGGGGCCAGCTGACGTCGAGGTATGTATCGATCTCCCCTCGATATTTTTGCTCCTGGAAGTAACACTTGCCGATGTTTTTAGCTGTCTTCTTGAGTTCGTCGAGATTGTTTTCCACAGTTAAAGGGCGGCCAAAAATATCTACGAATAGCACACCCAGCTGGTATGTACGCAATTTTTTGGCGGCATGGGGGATGAGCCAGCCAGCGCGCCAAACCTCTCCTCCTGTGGTGTAACCCCTCCTGCTCCCTGCCGTTGGTGATGAACCCCACGTCGATCCCCCCCCCCCCCNCATCCTCCTCGTACCGCTACGCTTGGAAACACGTGCTTTATATATTGGAAAATCAAAGGGGCGCGGAAGAACTTCGACTGGTCGGGGAGGGGCTCCGCGGAGTGCTGGAGGCGGGTGGGGATGAGGGGGTGGGTGGGGAGGGATCACTATTCCCCGCTGGGCTTGAGGCGGAGAAATCGTGAGTTCTTGTGTCCTGTCGCGTGCGTTGGTTGTCCGATTGTGTCCTTGTCTGGTTGCGACTGCTGTTTTAGCTTGTCACCTCTGTTTGTTTTCCGATTACAGTACTGGGCCCTCTATAGTGCAGGGGTGTGTCCAGAAATGTTACCTGCACTATAGCGGGCACCTGCACTATTCAACCTGCACTATAGCACTTCCTTTCTTCCCCTCGCTACCTCGGCAAGGTTTTGCGTAGGCATGACCCATAGCGAGGGGGGG